AGACACTGTCACATTACAACATGTTTCTCAGTAACCCCAAGTATCAAATTCCTCCTATACAATTACATAGTATAATCCAATATTCTAATATAATACATGGTGGTGATGGGCTATCTTTTTTGGTGTGGGTAGGGTCTTAATTTTGGTTATAGATTTTAGGCATGAGATTGTGGCTTACAACTGAGGGAAAATTCATTTCTGTGTTATGTGCGTAATGGTGTAAGCTGCCTAGAGTCCTTGTGACTGGACGGTATACAAATGCACGTGTCATGTAATTAATATAATAAATGTGATGTAACACAGAATACTATTGTGTAATATAGTATGTATGTATGTATATGTGTATGTGTGTATATATAGCAGGGGGGAATTGCCTGCACTTAATGTAAAGCTAAATGTTACTGTAGTAATAACAAATCCTCCATGCACAGGGGAGCCGTGCCTTTCCAGTGCTACTTCCTGCTCCTCTACTTTCTAAGCACTCTTTCTTGCTCTCCCACAAAGCGAGTTGCGACCACCCCATACAACCCCCCAGCATCACTGGGAGTAGGGTGGTATAGTCATGTAATGAATCATTATTATAATTACTCACTACTGTTCACCTCACTGCCCCTCTCTCTCTGGTAGACCACTCCCAATACAGTTCCATCCTCATTTATGACAAGGTTCCCAAAAGTCTTGCGCTCAAAATCGTCAAAGTTGCAAGAGCACAACTTGGTGCTGCAAGCTGGAATAAGCACCAGCCTTAAAAGGCCAGAAAGACTCTCCATCTGAGGCTCACGCGTCGCATTGATTCCGTGCAGACTGTGACGGGGAACATTATGATGTGGCTGTTAGGAGCATGACCCCAGCAGGAGAAGGTCTCCAGGACTTATTACAACTCATCTATAGAACTCTCAAGTTCTATAGAACTCTCAAGCTTCCTTAAAGAAAGGCTGGGAGGAGAACAAGTCATAACTTCACCACTTCAAGCTCTCTGAAGGGAGAGAAAGGTTTTAATTATTGCTAGCCTTTATTAGAAAACCTTTCTTCCAGAAAAAACAGCCTGATGTAACGTGCCGAGAAACTCTCAGTAAAACGTACATAAATACATGTATATTTTGCAAAAGGCTTTGTAATTCCATCGTGAATCCTTGGTGGTGAGTTAGGGTTTTTCGCTGGCTCTGCCTCATTCCTACCTGCTCTCCCACCTGCCACAGGAATCTAAACTCTGCAGACACTTGCTAATCAGGCTCAGTTTAAGCAATCTGTGGTTTATTCTAACCACGGGGGGGGGGGGGGGGAAGCAAGAATAAAAGAACATGAACAGCTTCCCTGATATGTTTCATTTCAGGAGAGAAAAAGGTTTCAGCTCCTCCATAAAGACCATTTGTATCATTCTGTTTTTCAAGCCGACTAAGAAGATAGCAAGGCAGCTCTCATTCAACCAGAAACCCAGGAACAGATTAGCTAAGGGGTCAGCTGATCAGAAAAGGCAGTTCAGCGTTTCTGGAGGCCCGTTTCTCAAGAAGTGACAAGAAGCTTCTGTACTAAAGCTCTTCATCCACATGACCGTATTGTTCAAGGCATAAAGGCATCAGCGTTCGCCCGTTGACTTGCCGCTGAAACTCCCTGATCGTGCACCCAAGGGGAAGCCCCCCTCTTCCCCAGCAGCCATTAACTTACCATTATTGGGGCTGAATTCGCTGGGGTAATTTGCAGGGGCAACCTGGATGGTAGCAGAGGTGGGAAAAACCAAGATGTGCGTACAAGAGGCATCCTGCGGAGTATTCAGCTGAGAAGACTGCAAGTTCAGAGCAGTGCTGCGGCCAAACACAGAGCCCGTGGTGACAGCATCTTTCGAGAGAAGAAGAACAGCAGGGCTATCAGGGGGCAGACTGACTCGGACACCATCTACCGGGTGGGGAGCGGGGGAAATTCAGATGGCCAAGAGCAGCCTGGCCACGGACGAGAAGAAGAGCTCGATGATTCTCGCATGCTCCGATCCTTTCCTTAAGCTGCTGATCCAGACAAACTGGAGTTCCTAATTCTACTTCAGGAGCCCACTCGGGTCATAGTGCTTTCCAAGACTGAATCGAGACACTAAGAGTGGGCTGGTGTTGCTGTAACGCTAAACTACGATGGGTTTAAGTGAGCAAATCTGAGCACGCAAAATCTGAGCACGTGAGAAAAAGTTTCACACCAAGTCACAGATTCACCGTTATCACAGCCGCTGTTCCAAATACCGTAGAGCAGCGTTTCTCAACTATAGCAACTTTACGATGGGTGGACTTCAACTCCCAGAATTCCCCAGCCAGCCTTGCTGGATGGGGAATTCTGGGAGTTGAAGTCCACCCATCGTAAAGTTGCTATAATTGAGAAACACTGCTATGGAGGAAAACAAAACATTTCTACTGGGGGTTGTTTTTTCCCAGAAAATGTTTTGTTTTGTTTTAAAATTAAGATAAAATGTTACAAGGAGATCTTCTGTCTTTCTGAGCCCGTTTGCCTTTAACATTCAAAAGCAAGTCTCTCAACACTTCTAATAGGAATATTGGGGGAAAGGGTTCAGTTTGTATACAAAGAAATTGATTAGACTGAAGAGACAAATCCCTCTTCAGGCATTCATTTGCAAGCATGGACAGTTTTAAAGCAGGTGGAACACGGGATGCATACACTGGTCTCCCTCCTTTTGCTTCTGAACCTCCGTGCGCTCACCCAGAAAGTCTGCTAAATCAGAGCTCTTTTTACACTTATTTGAGCACAAGTAAATGTCTAGGTGAAACTGACCCTGTTTTATTAGAAGTTTGGATCATGCAGAGTGCTCTACTCACATTGACACTAGCTAGAGTTTGAAGCTCTCTATCTGTTCAGGGAAATGCCTGAGCAAAGCCGGTACGTGGGAGCTTGGCCCACATCTGACCTTCCCCGTTTTCCAAAATCTGGATGAAGAACAAGCTTTTACAATTTTTCTTGCTATCATTCTCCCACATTCTATTTTTCCAGAGTGTTGAGTGTCTGCTACAGTACTTGGACAGATGCCTAGTTAGATGGACACACCACTTTCCAAGCAAAGCCAAATAATTGGGGGTGTGGGTAGGGAGGCAGGGAAGGGAAGATGTTGGTGCAGCTAAATCCCACTAAGTCCACGGTCAGAGAGCTGTGCATAATTACCTGGCATCACCACAAACGACCCCTGCGGCTCCATGGCAACCAAACAGGCGCTGAGGATGGAGGGAGAATCTGCAGAGGAGATGCCACACATCCGACACACCTCCTTCAACTGCTTACTGATTGTCTGCAGGGAGCACTCCCCAAGCAGGATGCTCCAGTCTGGAAAACAGCGAGGGAGGGAATGCAGCTGCCATCTGAAGAAGCTTCTCCCAACCAGAAGTCAAAGCAGAACTATGTTTTAGCCCAACTTTTGTGGGGAAAGAACATCCTTGAGGGCCATGACTGACAGTGTTCCATGTTCTTATATATGCCTTCCCTGTACAGTTCTGTAATCACATCTTGTTTCCTTTAGTGTCATTTTCAAGTTCATCGTCCTCATATGTCAAAGCCCACATTTCTCCATTACTTCTCTTAACCCATCTCTTCTTACCATCTCTGCTTTGCATTTATTTTCTACATCTTCCTCTCTTTTCTCTAATCGGACTCTCTTTGGTCACAGGCTAATAAGATGCTTCCATTGTACATGCTGTTAAACACGTTAATCACATGGGAAAAATGCCAGAGTACATTTACCCTCATGGTTATCTAACAGCCCTTCCCTTAATTTTTTTTTTTTCGTAGCAAGAGGAGCATTTAGCAGTTATTTTAGCAACCAATTATTATGTCCTACTTTGTGCCCCAAAGCTCTTTTTCACACTTGAAACACTCTGGAAGTGATCAAAGCGGGGCGGTTCAGATCCCAAGCATTACACACCTCTAATTTTTGCCCTTCCCCTCATTTCATGCAGGCCTTCAAAATGCGTGGAGCCACTTCGTTTCTAAACCTTCAGCCCAAAAAGACTCAAATATAAAAACACTGCATCCACCGAAGATAAAAGAAATAAGCCAGTTCAGCTCCCTTGCTTCTGAGGGATTAGTAAAGGTGGAACGACGAAACTGCCTAATCTTCAGCCCCCTCCCTTGCAAGGTTTTCCATTCTCATTACCAGGATGACATTGCAACATCGCTTTTTAGACAGCCTGGCTCCAAAACAAGACATTTTCTATTATTTCACTAACGCGCTTTCAAAGGATAGTCTAGATTGGCAGTTCCAGGTCAATGTGAGTCCTACAAATGCAAACCAGACAAGTTTTGCAGAGATCCTAAAGGGGGAAAGGGGAGATTCTTTTTTATTTTATTTTATTTTATATTTTATTTATTAGATTTATCTCCGCGCATCTCCCCCTAGATGGGTTGAAGGAAACCACAGCTTATGCTTTCTGTTATGAAAATTCCACACATGTCTAAGCAGGTGAATGTGTGGAGGGATAGGGCTGTGTGTCTCAGGATTGTGATTTTCAAAATAACCTATCAACAATCTACTTTGACAGTGCCTCAAGTTTCTATTGTCAGACTTAGCAAACCGGGAAAGGCTTTGTAGCCCAGATACCTTTCAGCTCCCCGTGGCCAAGCCGCCCAAGGCGCCCGATCACGACTCTCCAGGGAAGTGATGTCATCTGGATGATCCCAACGCACCATTCCCAAAGCTTCTGCAAGCCAATTTTACGCGATGAGACCTTGCACCTCCGTGATCTGGAGGGGAAAAAGCGTAGGATGCGTATTAGCACTTTTCTTGAGACTTCTGCCCTGGATCAAAACTTAACCCCTGGACTATATGATGCACCGTGATTTTTCAATGAACCATTGACCAAGAAAGCTGTTTTTTGCTCGATTACTTACATGAGAGTAACATTGCTTCTTTCCAGTTAGTGTAGAACCAAAGGTTCAGAACTGTGACTTAGTATAATGCCTACCAGCTCTAACCTTTTGCTTGCATTGATTGTGACTGATGGATGTTTTCATTCAGCAGTTATCAAGAAGCCAGAGGTCCTCTGCTTCTGTTCTAAACCCTCCCATATGCAGTATGGGAATAGTAATTCTGATTGGCCCCAGAGGCCCATTGTAAATAATGGGTGAAGCATCTCTATGCTGTAACACAACAGTCTTTTTTTTTTTTTTTAACGTGGAGCAAAGCCTGAACCTGGCCAGAGCAGCTGTCTTTGAGATCTCAATGGCATTTTGAAGGAGTGTCTCCCATTTTTTTTCTAGCGGGATATAAACCAGTTACACAAATCTGCAGGGAAGTTTATTTCTTGTCACACAGACAATTCAAGAGAACCGTAATGAAACACCAAGGTGAGCATACCGAACTTCCTAAAAGTCAAGACAGACCAGCAGTTCATAATGCCCAACAGGGTTTCCTCCAACTCTTTGTGACTGAGGAAAAGAAATAACTTTGTCCCCAAACCTACTGAGGGCTCTTTAATTTAAATGCCAGTAACTGATTCTCCCTGCCTCCCAAAATACTTGAATGCAAAATATACAATCTGCTACAGAGCTTATGAAGGAGCCTAGAGTTTGCAGCTAGTTTGTTGGGGTTTTTTTTTAAGCCTACCTGTTTGGCAAATCGATGTTGACAATGCAGGTTTCCAACAAGTCACCATGCAGGTCAGTGCAGGAGGCCAGAAGCCAGCGCTGATCGTGAGAGAGACAATACCCAACAAAGAGCACGTTGTACTTCTGGCTGGCTTCGCCAAAGGTCTCCCCGAGCTCCGTTTGTTTGTCTTTGATAGGTGCCAGGATAAACGGAGGGGAGTACAGCTGAATGGGACTCGGCCGCTACAAAGAGAAGACATTACATATGGAGATATAAAAAGAAAGAAAAAATGACAGGTTGTCCCCAGCTGAAAAAGTGAAGTCAATCCATCAGGCTTTGGGCTGATCTGCCATCTGCTCAACTTCTAGTACTGAACTTGCTAATGTTGTAAGATCTATATATTTAGTATAAGCATCTCAAGACCAAGTCACATTCTTTGCTGGACCCAGAATGCATGTTGGGCCAATGTTCTTCCTCCACTCTTTTTAATTCCTCTTCTTCTAGTGTTTGTTGCACTGCAGTTTCTTACTGCACCTGAACAAGGACCTGAGGATTTCAGCTTTAACAAGCCTACAACCCATGGCTGCTCCTATCTTATAAACTCAAGATGGGTGCCAGACCATAATCCAGTTTTTTGGGTTTGGATGAAATAGGATCCAAACCCTGGAGGGAGGGGAGTTAAAAAGGGTGGAACATGGGCACATTATGCATTCTTGCTTGTCTTTTCTTATTAAAGACTGGCTGGCAGCGATTCTCTCTAATTAAGACGCTGGATGAAAATACTGTCAACCAAGTTAGAGGTGATCATGCTGGCCACCGGTCTGTAGACATTCCAACCTGATAAGGTGTGCAATGGAGTTATATTCTAGCTCTCAGGTTCATTATTTATACTACTTGGCAGTTGCTGCTCTAACCAAAAAGGAATGTTGCTCTCCTAAACGTAGGGACAACAGATGTATTCTGATGATGCAACAATTATTTTGTTTATTTGGGTAAACTTTAAGAGAAGTATAAGGGCTTTAGTGGAGGAGGAGAAGGAGAAGGAGAAGGAGAAGGAGAAGGAGAAGGAGAAGGAGAAGGA